AGAAATGCAAATAGCCTTAGGCCCCCATCCTGCACCAGCCCTTCAGGAGCCCAGCCCTCCTGAACTGCTGAAGGGCATTCATTCCGGGGGAAATGTTACTTCCAGAGTAAGAGGGTGCACAGCTAGAGCAGGGAGCAAAGGGCTGCATTTAAAATCCTGGAGAAAGGGAATCGCTGATGATGCTCCTTTGTAAGCCGACTGCAAGATGGAGGTTGTCTCTGTGCTGTGTGCCAGTGCAGAAGGTGTGGTGTTCGTGTGTCAAGATAAACCTGCACAGACCTGCTTTTCCGACTCTACCTAATGATTCATTACAAAAAAAAAAAATTACACTTCAGAATTGAGAATAAACACAGCCACGTAATTGCTTTGACCTTTCTAGTACTTGCCATTCTCTCAAAGGTCACCCATTGATTAATATCACCCTTTAGAGAGGAGGCTTTCCCAATGGACACTGCTGGCACCGGTCTCGATCGTTCCTGGTCGGGCTCTCCGGTGTGCTGTAGGATGTTTGGCAGCATCGCTGGCCTCCGCCCACTGGATGCCAGAACTGCCCCCCTCCATTGTGACAATCAAGAATGTCTGCAGACAGCTCTGGCTGGGTGGCCCAGTTGGTTAGAGTATCGCCCCCTACACCAAAGGTTGCAGGTTTGATTCCTAGTCAGGGCACCATATATCTAGATTGTGGGTTCGATCCCTAGTCCCGGCATATACAGGAGGCAACCCATTGATGTTTCTTTCACACATCTATGTTTTCTTTTCTCTCTCTCTCCCTCCCATCTTCCCTCTCTAAAAAATCATAAAAACATATCCTCAGGTGAGGATATAAAAAAAAGTCTGCAGACATTGCCCAATGTCCCCGGGAGGATGTGGGGAACGGGATCAAATGGCCCCTGTAGAGCACCCAGCTGTTGGACGAATTAGATCATGTCCCAGCGCGGGGCCATGGAGAGCGTGTGCTGCAGATGCCTGTCCCCACGCTTCATTAGTAAGTGATCTGGGGCACTGAGTCCCATGCCTTTCAGCCACCCCCTGACACCCCTAGAGGGGGCAGGGGCCCTGCTAATTGTTTTCTGGAGAAGCTTCTACTCTCTGAGCTCCAGGTGCTATTGCTGCTTTTCTGTAAATGGATTAAGTCAAGTAAAACAATCTACAAACTCTGCAGGGCTCCACATCCAAGCAAACATGCAAAACAGATGCGAAAGTGAGATGTCAGCTTTCCCCTAACCTGTGAATTTTCAAATCAGTTTAATGTATTTTAAGGTCAGCGGTAAAGGCATATGAATAGCCCTCTCTCTGCCATGTGACAGGCAGATTTTAAGATTGTGCGTGTTGGAGGGGAGGGGTGAGGTATGCAGAGTCCATCCGTTCGAGGAGGCGGCCCTGATATTAACGATTCAGAGCTCTATGAAGGATGCTCACAGCCTGGGATGCTGACTGGTTTAGAAATCTCTCTGTATGCCAGATCCCAAGCTCACCACTGGATGTCACCCTGGTCCCATCTAAGTGTCGCACTACAGCTAACTTCCACACCAGGAAGTTTCAGGGCCCATGTAGGTTGCTCTGGGAGGAAATGTGGGACCAGAGTAGCCTTCACTTGTCCCAGAAGGGTTATGGTAAGGGCTCATGGGTGCTCACAGATTGCTGGGAAGATGAAATGAAGTGAAAAGCAGCTTGTGCCCAGCCAGCAGATAGTCAGTGCTGCCCCACCCCAGTGCCCGTAATGCCCTTTCAGTGTTGTCAGGTACCCTCAGCACCTACAGCCAGCTCAAGCCCGCTGTGCCCATATGAAGAGAGGGCCATTACTGCTGGGAGACGATGTTCCCCCATGGCAGCCCTTAATCAGGGACCAACAGGCCAACAGAAGCTCAGCTTCCTAGACTCTGGCTAGGCAGCCCCTGAGGATAACTCTCTGAGGCCCCATGGGATCAGGCAGAGACCAGTTCTGTAGGGCTGCACCCTTGTTGACCTGTCCTGCTACTCTTCTCGCCCTTCCTCTTTTCCCTGGAGCCATCTATAATAATAAAAGGGTAACATGCTAATTAGACCATTAGACCAAACCTCCTTCTGGGCATCATTCTGGACATCCTTCTGGACGAAGTCAGGGCCCTGAGTGAAGCCACCTGGGTCCCGGTGCCTGGAGGCGGCAGTTGAAGGGAAGCAGCCTGTGTCAGGCCAGAGTGAAGGCCAGTCCCGGGTGCCAGAGGGAAGCTGGTGCTGGCAGCTGGGGGAAGGAAGGCCTATTCTTGCATGAATTTTCGTGCATCGGGCCTCTAGCTCTTTCATAAATCACTGTACCTAAATCCCCATCTCAAGGTCTACTTCTGGGGAACCTTCTCGCAGGTGCTGGTTTATAGTCCCTACTCAAAACCCCTTGGTTCCCTTTCCCCAGGATCCTCTCTCTTTGTGCGTCAGGTACCAGTAGGATTTGGGCTCGCAAGTTAGCTAGCCTGGGCCCAGACCCCTCTGCCTTTTCCTGTGGTTCTGTCCAGCTGACCCGTTCTGCCTGCTGACCCTCTGAGCGTGGCTGAGGCTACTTCTCAGGAACCAGTGTGTGTGCTTGTGGTCCATGGGGGTCAGGCTTGAGCTTTATCCATTTGTGGCATCTGAAGACTCAGAAAAAAATATCTAGAAGCAGATAAAAAGATCTTTAAATCACTTTGGAGTCATAAGGTACCCAAGATGAGAAAGAGCAGGGAGAGAAGTTTTACTTGTTATTTTTTCCCATGTCTACATAGGACAGTGATGGTGAACCTATGACACGCGTGTCAGAGGTGACACACGAACTCATTTTTTTGGTTGATTTTTCTTTGTTTAATGGCATTTAAATATATAAAATAAATATAAAAAATGTTTTTGTTTTACTATGGTTGCAAATATCAAAAAATTTCTATATGTGACACGGCATCAGACTTAAGTTAGGGTTGAGCTCAAAAGGTTCGCCATCACTGACATAGGATTACTCAAATTAACATTCCCACCTCACCTGGTTCTTGTGTCCAGAATAAATTCACCTGGTGAAGCAACTAGGAAAAGGGGAGAGGGAGGATAACAGGACATGAGCGGTGGGAAAGCAGGGTGAGCTATTAGGAGCACCACCTCATTTTTTACCTCCCACACACACTGGCTTTAGGATAGTGCATGCTTGAGAAAAAATGATTAAAACAATTGCTCATGTGTGACAGAAAAGTCATTCCCATTTAGAAAAATATTTAAATCATGGGTTGGGGAGCATTCTCTGTCTCAGTTAATGATGGGTTAGAGGGTCGTTATATAAAGCATGTGATCAATATGTCATTTCCTGATTGAATTGCTGATATATCCTGGTGTTTGTAGGGGACATAGCAGAGACGACATCAGAGCATGGGAAGGACTTTAAGTCACGAAAATTGCATTTCAAGGGTACAATGTGGAATGGTATTAGCTTGTATAATTTGTTTTTCTCTTATTTTGTTTATCATTTCAGATAGATGAGGCTGAGGGTTGAAGAAATGAGATTTTCTTCCTAGTGCTAGATCCTATTTCTTCTCTCCATTCAGAGCTGAAATACCTGCTTCCTCCAGAGATTTGTTTAAATACCACACAGATGAGCTCAATATGTCCCTGTATTGAATCAGATCCATGAGGGCACGAGTGTCTCCTCAACCAATAAACACGAGAAGCAATAAATGCCCACATTTATCTCGGGGCAGGGATGCGTGATGCTAAAGGCAGCGGCCCCTTTGACTTCTCTTTCTTCTAAGCCTAGGAAATCTGCCAGAGTTTTCTAAAGCTTTAATACACAAAAACGGCTGCTGAACTTAGTCACACTGCGAGGTCTGGCGGCCTCGTATGCCAGTCCTCTAGCTTCTTAACCTGCCGTCTACCTGCCTGGAGTGACCTGCCCTTTTCTCCCCACTCTCCTTGCCCTCTGGGTACAGGGGCCAGTTTCAGATTTAACCCGGGAACTCCTGAGGTTGTGAACCACAATGTCAGTGGGTGATGGCCTCTCTGAGCTGTTAAAATGTCTTTGCTCTTAGTGGGAAGGAAGAAAGGAAGGAAAACTCCCCAAGTGAGAATGGGTCCCAGAGGCCTCATTGCGCCCCCCCTCCCCCAACCCTCACCCTTCACTACTCAGCCCCCTTTTCTCAAGGGAGATGTCAGTCCTGGTGGGTAGGAGCTGGCTGGGGCAAGGAGGGAGCCTGCAGTTGGAAGCCCTGTGGTTGGAAAGTGAGGCTGGATGCATGAGGCCAGACAGATGGGGGTGTTGGGCAGATTGAGAGGACAATGGGGCTTCTGGGTGTTTCAAGGGCTGATGGGGTATCTGGAATGAGGGAGCCAGCAGGCAAGAGACAGATAGAAACAAAGATAGAGTAAACTCTTCTTACCTTAAAAGTGTGTTGAGAGCCCTACATGCTGCCTGAAACTTTTAACGGAATACAGTAAAATAGAAACAAATAAACTAGTTTGGGGGTTTTAGGCTTTTGCAGGGGCGGGGGGGGAGAGCGGTGTATCATTTACCATAATAATTTGGTAAAAACATCTTCATCTAAAGTCACAGTGGACCTAGATGAAAAATGACCCTGGGGTCTAAGTCTCCAACTTACCTTGAATGGCACCCTCTTCATGGTTATAGGATGACCAGACCACAGAAAGCTGAGGAACAAACCCTATTTCTAGCCACCCCCCTCCCCTGGCACCGACTTTCTACACACTAAGGTAAAAATGTTTTTAAAATAAATTTAAACTCAGAAATGGTGAAATTTTTTTGAGTCTAGTACAGACATTTTTATTAACATTGTAAACTGACAAACAACACAAATTTATGACTACATCAAAAGAATTACATTAGTAATACAAAGCCAAAGCAGATTTCCAGTTAAATATAGGAAAATTTATGGGTCAATTGGAACTACCCAACCTGCGTCCCTCACCAGATTTTCTTGCCACATCGTCCTTGACTGGGGAATTTGCACAGGAAGAGGAAATTCAAGTTGAAACAGAAGGAGAAAATAACCTACAGATTTTTTTTTCTGTGTCTTTTCACTTGAAGCTTGAATAACACCAAGTGGTAGCACATATTAAAGGGAAACTATCTCATTAAAAATATTTTATAAACTGTCCCACCCCCACTGTATACACACATATTTAAAATTTGGAGTGGGGTAAATTGATCATTTAGAGGGTAAAATTATTCAGATGAAATAATTTGTGAGACTTTTTAAAAAGATAAATTTAAAACCATAGTTCAAACATCTATGAGTCCAAATAGCTCTCCCCCCACCAACAACTTCACATTCCAAAGCCATCAAAGATGAAAAGTAACAACAATCCTTGAGTATTGCCTGATGATACAGCGCCTTTGGGTAAATTATAACATTCCAATTTTCCAGAAAGTCATGTAGGAAGAAAACAGCAGGTCCAAAGGGAAGACCTGTGTGATCTACCAGGTTTATACAGGGAGCCAAAGAGCAGGGAAGAATTACTCTTCAGAAATAGCTATGGATGACCTATCTTCTCTATGCATCCCCCTGTAGGAGGAGGCTGACAAGTAATCCTCTGTTCAATCACCCACTTGTGCTGAAACCAAGCCAACAGAAAATGAGACTGAGTTGAAGCCCTTCCTTTTCTGCCACCTCTGGCCCCAAATCTTAGTCCTCCTGTAAGGTAACAAATCCTGGAACCCAAAGTCCCAAATAAGGGACACAGAATTTGGGGTGTCTTGTTTGTTTGCCTTTTTTCTTAATTTTGGTGTTTTCTTTCTACTTGCAGATTTGTCTAATTTCTTACTCGCAGAAAAAGTCAATATCCTGGAACAGAAACAAAAGGAAAAAAAAGAATGAACTGAGAGGTGGGGCCAGAAAACAGATGTAGGTTCTTTATTTAAAATAATACTTAATCAAAGCTTAATTTGGACTTAAAATAAGTAAAGGTTGAAACCCAAAGATTATGACTTAATTATCACTTTAAAGTAAAATCACTTAAAATGAAAGTTCTCAAATACACTTTTAATTTATGGTTATTTGACACATTCAAGTTCAATGCTAACAAATGATGACAAGTGAGTTCCATTTGGTTAGGTTGGGTAATGTTTTGAAATTATTTAGCACAGCAGTTAGCTCCAGGAGAACAGCTTCAAAATAACCACCTTACAAAGTAGCTCTAAGGGGATCTTTTATTTCTGTCCTGGGTTTACAAGACCCCAGGGCATTGGACAGAGTGTAATTTTTTTATTTTCATACATAAGTGGAGTCTACCACAAAAATAAGGTATTCAAAGATTTTCCTAGAATGTATTGACTTTATGAAATACAGGTGGTATATTTTTTTCCCCAGCCCAAGTCTTGAGCAAATAAATATGTGACCATCAGGAAGAGTCAGATGATACTATTTTGGTTTCTTTCTTTGTGACATGAATTACTTTCAACTGAAACAAAAGGGGCGTCAGTGGAGAATGTTCAATACTCTTTCAACCTCGGTAGTAGGTATGGATGCTCTCCCAAACCTCTCTGTCTCAGAAGTCCCCACGGGAACCTGGGCTTTGCTCCATATATAATGTGAGTTACATGGTGCACGTAAACACCAGCCTGCATTATGCCAAGAGCTGAGTCTTTCTCTGGCCACCTCTGAGACACTTACTGTGGTCGGGACTTCCTTGGTGGCTTCCTGGTACACGTGTTGCTCCTCCACCAAGTTCCTGGGAAAATAACCCACCGTTCCCATCTCGTCCTCATGGTCATCGCCATACACCTGTGCCCAGAAACGAAACACTCAGGGGAAGGCGGATGTGAGACTCCAGAAACCCTCAGGTACCCCCTTTGCTGTTAGTGAGAATGACATAACTGCCAATGCCTTGCACTTCGCTCCGGATCCCGGGGGCTCGGACTGAAATTTTAAGTTCACTTACAGAATGAGGTCAACCCCCAGAAGTTGTGTATCTATTCTTCTGTGGCCCAGTCTCTTACTGGCCTCACTACTTTAGCATGCCTTTATTTTCTGCAATCTTGTGAGCTGCCTGAGATAACTTTGGAATCATAAATAAATAAAGTCAGTAAATTTTTAAAAGTAAATTTTATTTTAAAGGACTTGCATTTCTCAGTTTTTAAAAATTTAAATGAACAGATACTTGAGTGAATTTAAGATTTAATTCTTCGTTGCCTGAGAATCTATCTGTGGCACTACCGATGAGGACAGTAAGTCAGTCCTGGCTTTACCCCTCCCCAGGGCCCATTCTACACATTTTAACAAAAAAAAAAAAAAAAAAAAAAAAAAAAAGGAGATTCTTTGGAATTAAACAGGGGGCTAAAGTTTCCTTAAAAATATTGAAACATAGACCGACTGCCAACATACATACCTTTACTTGGCTAATCCAAGTAACTTTTAGTAAGTTTCAAACTCTTTGGGAGGCTCAAGTTCCCATGTATCTGACTAGTTTTTCTTGCAAAAACATCACATAAGCCCGCATTTGGCTGTTATAAAATTGTCATTGTTTCTTCAAAATGCCATAAAAACAAATATACATGAGTTTTTGTATTTGCATCTACAATCTCTACATTGTTCTTAACGGCCGGTTTTAAACATGTAAACTGCATTGAAGATAGGTAACAGAGAAGAACATTAAGAGCAACATATGTCAAGATGTGTGTATATTTTCAATAATCTCATCTTACACTGCCAGCCCAAAATTCTCCAGCTTCATTTTCTTTTACCAGCTTTGAGTAAACATATATCTGCTGCCCTTTTTTAGCGTTAATGAATCTACAGTCTGGGGCATTGTAATCTTCTTGAGCTCTGGCCAGAGAAATAGTATCTGGAAGGAAAAACAAAACAAAACATTGAATGACTACCTTTTTGGCTCCTAGATTTTAAAACAGTTAAAAGGCAGAGAAGAGCAGAAAACTCGGAAATCGGAGTGACTAATACCTCCCCATTCACAGCTTCTGGTCCGTTCAAAGGGAGTAAGAAATACAAAGCATTAAAGCTGCATCCAACAGAACCTTAGCCAAGCAGATATCCTATGGTTAACTCTCTAGAGATACAGACCAGGATAAAACAATGCCAATCAAACATACACATTAGATAAGATTCACTTCAAAGAACAATCAGATTTTTGTGCTGTTAGTGGATAGTTTTTCAATTATTTAATAACAACATAAGAAAAGGCATTTAAAAAGTCCTTACAGACACACTCGTCATCTGCACAGAGCTTCTTGGAAGCAAGTTTGTCCATAAATATTCCATGCACGGTGCCTACGGCCACAAGACCTGGAAGGAAAAGTAACAACAGTCTTGCCATCGCCTTGTTTGCTGCTTATGCTATCGCCCTTTGAGTGGAAGTGAAAACTGACTTCAGTGGTTCCTGCCTTTTATGTGGAAGCCAGACATCTGGGTAAATCCCCCAGGCCAATGGGAAGGTGCCTCTGCTTTCATAACAGCCACTGGGCCCCAGGGGCTACTTGGCATCTGATTTTCCAAAGAGACTCAAATTCTATGTCTTCTTTTTATACACAAATGATTTCCAACTGGTCCATCATTGTTAAAGCCACTTTAGTTGTGGTTTACTGCGTCAGCAGGGCATTGTTGAGAAAACTAGGAGAATTTTAAATCTGTTTAAAAAAATTTAGTTCAATTCTCATATTCTTTCAACCTCTGAGCAAAAATGTGCTCACTGTAGGAATCTGTTGAAAATGTGAGAGCTACATCTTTGGTTCAAAGGATTTTGATTTAAACAAATTCAATCGACTATCTGGGTTTATATAATAGGTGAATGAAAGGATCCTTGAGTTTAGAAGTCATTCATAATAGGATTCTTAGAAATTGTGTCTGTCGTGGGGCAGACATGGATTGTAGCACAGGAGTTACATTCAGACCCTACCAATGGGGAAAGGAAGAGATGGGTGGGTTGGAAAAATGGAACAATCTTTCTCCACCTACTTTATCAGAGACTTTTGAAAGTCAGTCTCAAAATGTTCAAGGGTTATGGATCCTAAAGAAGGGAACAAAGCTAGAGGTTTGAGTTACCACTCCCACCCCTTCCCTGCTCCTGGGCATCATTCCCATGGAAAGTGTGGGACTGCTAGAAGCCACCAAAGTTGAAACACAATACCTGGCTCCATCTATTCAACAAATTTACTAAGCACCTACCTTGTGCCAGGCACTGTTGTAGACACTGGAGACATAGGAGTGAATAGAGTCTGTAGTCCCACAGGTTTACTTTCTATTAGCAGAGACATACAGTAGGTTGCTAGTTTTATATAGTGTTTGGGGCTGGCATCTCTCCCATAAAGTGCCCTGCTCCATGGTTTATGGACTAGAGGTCCCTCTCAGGATGCCCCGCCCACTTGGTGGACAACCAGGTTTCAGAGCAGTGCCTCTCCGACCCAGCCCCCAAATGCAGTCACCTCAAAAAATGAAGGCCAGCCATTCAACTTACAAATTAATTTTGTACAAAATAATTCTCCAAGGGAGAAACTGGAAAAGCAAAATATAGATACAGTAGAATTTTAAAAATTGATTGATTGATGTGTGTGTGTGTGTGTGTGTGTGTGTGTGTGTGTGTAAGAAAGTTTCCTTGTTTTGTTTGTGTGTGGACAGGGGGGCAGTGTGATTTTCAGGGGAGGATCTTTCATACAGCTGGCCCTGGTTTAGAAGCTTGTTTAATTCAATATCTTCATTATAGATGAAAAAACTGAGGCCCAGTAAAGGCCAGGGATGCCTTCTTAACCACACAATCTAAAGGCTGCCTAATAGGACTGTGGTTCAGTGCTGCTTCCACACGTCTGCTCTCAAATTAGAATTGGGATTTTGAATTCTTTATTTTCAGATTCACTTCAAGAAAAGAATGAATTAGAAATCAGAATGCCAGTGCATTTTCCTTCCTCTAATTTAGGGATCTAAGAGGATCTCTGGAAAAAGTAAAGTATTAAATCTTCTTAGTTCTGATGGGGCAGCTGTTTTACAGACTGTTTACAGTCTCAAGCCAGCCATCAACATAGGAGAGTTCAAAGACAATTACCTTTTGAGTCACTTGAAGAAATGGAGACTGCGCAAAGCCAGATTGCCACACTGTATATAGGCTCCCCAAAGCAGAGTGACATATTGAATAAAGCCACATCCAAGCTCTCACAACTCAGCAAATACAAAGCCCTTATGGCCATTTGAAGAAGTAAAGAGATGTCAAGCCTACTGAGTGTATCGCGGGCAGGCCTGGGATGCCTTAGCATTCTGTAGTGGGCAGAGACAGGATGATGATTAGAGAGAGGCCTCTGTAAAATGTTGCTTGCAAACAGCAACTTCAACTTGCAATAATTCAGCAAGCAGTTGTGCCTGGCAGCCATGCTGGAGACACTGCCCATCTGAGGGTCTAGAGAAAATGGCTCTGTCCTCTCTATTTTCAGATGTATTCTCTGCGTCTTTAACCCCCATAAGACATTTTTTCCTAAATGAGCATCTCCCTCTGGAGTTTGTGAAATGGAGACTGTGGCTCCCTTCGGGTCTAGAAATAGGCTTGGGCAAGTGGTTGCGGTGGAAGCCGCCTCCTTGTCACAACCTACAAGGCTCTGAGTGATCGGGCCGCTGCCCCTGAAGTCAACTCCTGTCACTCTCCCTCACTTGCTCTGTGCCTGCCATACCAGCTGCTCTCTGTCTTTTGAAAATGCTGAGCTAGTTTCCACTTCAGGCCTCTCAGTTTATCGCCTGGGATGCTTTCCCTCCAGTGAGTGGTGTTCAGGTCTCTGGCCAAGATGTCTCCACAAACAGACCAGTTACCAGACCACTTCCTGCACTCCTCCAACCAATTTCTCCATCATGGGACCCTGGCATGTGGCATGCCTTTTTTATTTACTTCGTGGTGTTTTGTCCCCCAAAGCTCTATGAGGTGGAGATCTTGTCTATCTTGCTCATCACTCTATAATTAGCACTCAAAAATACTTAGTACTCATAAATAGGTATTCATTGAATAAATGCACGAGTCCCCTGAAATAGTATGCTTAGGTATATACCTGCACATGTCCATTTTTTTTTCTGGTGAAAGTCCCTAGGTTTTATCATATTCAAAAAGAGGCTCATTCTTCCAAAATTAGTATTCACTGACTAAATTATTAGGGTAGAGACTCGGCGGTCTGGCCACCAAAGTATGGTCCTCAGACAAGCAACTTTGACATCACTTTATAGAAATAGTCCCTCTTACCTCATCCCAGACCTCGTAAATCTGAATCTACGTTGTGACAAGATATGCAAAAGATTAATATGAACATTAAAGCTTGAGAAGAATTGCTAGAGGGCAAATCAAATAAAGCAAAATGTTTTAGCTAGAGATCCAGATTCTTCACTAGGTCTTGGCCGGATACATTTTCCAAAGACAAAAGGCTTATTCAATACCCAAACAGAAAATACTTCGAGCCTTAAAGTTTAAAATGGAGATGTGAGCCTTTCACAAGTTTTCACTTTTATACTATCTTGTATTTATACTGCTTTTGAAAAACACAATTTGAAAGAATGATCTAATCATTATAACATGCTTGTACAGTAGAAATCTTTGTTCTTTCTTAACCTTCACTCACATTGGAATAATATGAACATTAAAGCTTGAGAAGAATTGCTAAAGGGCAAATCAAATAAAGCAAAATGTTTTAGCCAGAGCTCCAGATTCTACATTAGGTCTTTGCTGGATACATTTTCCAAAGACAAAAGGCTTATTAAATACCCAAACAGAAAATACTTCGAGCCTTAAAGTTTAAAATGGAGATGTGAGCCTTTCACAAGTTTTCACTTTTATACTATCTTGTATTTATACTGCTTTTGAAAAACACAATTTGAAAGAATGATCTAATCATTATAACATGCTTGTACAGTAGAAATCTTTGTTCTTTCTTAACCTTCACTCACATTGGAACCACCAAGGAGCTTAAAAATGATTGATGAATGGGTTTCACCCCGGATTTAACTGATATGGAGCGTGGATTAGAAAATGTTTGAAAATGCTTCCCAGATGATTCTAATATGCAGCCAAAGTCGAATGTCAAATTCAAAATTGAGAACCACTATATTAGATGGGTAGCAACACTGTCCCCTCAAAATACTTCTAGACACTCGCACTCCCACAGATGGGTAAAGGTCAGAAAAGCTTAGTTTGAACATGTCTTCTTCAAAGAATAATTAGCTCCTTTTTCCTTTGCTTTCCTCCCTCATGAAGCCTTGCTTTCTAAAGTTTGATTACATATAGGGAGGTTTGAGCAAGTCAGTAAATGCATTGAGGTTCCTGGATTTAACTGATATGAAGTTTGGATTTGAAAATTTTTGAAAATGCTTCCCAGATGATTCTAATATGCAGCCAAAGTCGAAAGTCAAATTCAAAATTGAGAGCCACTATATTAGATGGGTAGCAACACTGTTCCCTCCAAATACTTCTAGACACTCGCACTCCCACAGATGGGTAAAGGTCAGAAAAGCTTAGTTTGAACATGTCTTCTTCAAAGAATAATTAGCTCCCTTTTCCTTTGCTTTCCTCCCTCTTGAAGCCCTGTTTTCTAAAGTTTGATTACATACAGGGAGGTTTGAGCAAGTCAATAAATGCATTGAGGTTAATGGGACTGGTGGAAAGTTACAAATAAGGGCAGGGAGCGGGGGCTAGAATAAGTGTTCAGGTGTGTATAGATCTTCTCTATAAAATTAAGATCATGAGTCTCTCGGGCTGGAGCTCTCTCTCAGGCCCCCTTGGGCCCTCCCTCACCTGGCCCTGTCCAGATGTGGTACTGCAGGGCTTGCGCCTGGCTCGAGGGGCAGGCACCACGGTTCTGGTGGGACATGGGCAAGAAGCACAGGTCTTACAAACACCTGCCTCTACTAGGAACATGCGAGAAGCTCTTGAAGTGGTCCTCCAAGCAGGAGGGAAAGATGTTAGCAAGTTCTCCACCTGCAGCTTGGGGCACGACTCAAGCCTCTTTGAGAGAAGGATCGTGACGAACACAAGGACAGAACTCAGAAAAAGAGGACGAAAAGCAGGTTCAAGGGAGAAACACAGAAGCGTGTGAAGGAAGACAGAAAGAAGCCAGATCGGGATCATGTGGAGAATGAGGCAGAAAAAGACCTCCAGGGCCAGGCCCCTGCAGGATTGGACTTGCCTCCTGAGAAGCCGCCCAAGCTCCTTAGCCAAACAAGTAGAACACACACCTCTTTGAATCAATTGATGAGACAGTTACAAATAAAAGACACAAGTGCTTTCTTTTCATTTCCTGTGACTGACTTTATTGCTCCCAGCTACTTCATGATCATTAACCACCCAATGGATTTTAGTACCATGAAAAAGACCGACTACCAGTCTACAGAGCTGAAGGATAACGTCAAGCTTATGTGTACTGATGCTATGACTTACAACAAACCAGGGGCCACTTACTACAAAGCTGCAACGAAGCTACTGCACTCAGGAGTGAACATTCTTAGCCAGGAGAGAATTCAGAGCCTGACGCAGAGCACAGACTGCATGGCAGACTTGCAGGAGAGTCGGAGGCAGAAAGACTGGACTGACGGACTGACACCCCACAGAGAGGGGAGGATGGCAGCTGCTGGCCGCCGAAAGGGAGGACTCAGGCAAGATGGGAACACAAGCCTTTGAGTCCCAAAGAGGAAAACAAGACAAAAATGTGCCTGAAGGTAAAGTTAAGAGCAATAATTTAGAGAGAGCAGGAGGGCAGTTGACCTGGTGGCTTGTTAATAGTCAAGTGTGAATTTGAAAGAACAAAACCAATACAAATTCTAAGTGGTAAGAAGTTTTGTTCAAGGAAATATTAAAACAGGAATATGAATAAATGATCAATAATGTCACTTCAGCCCTGGCCAGGGTGGCTCAGTTGTTTGGAGTCAGTTCCCAGTCAGGGCGGGTTCAATCCCTGGTTGGGGTGTGTACAGGAGGTAACTGATCTGTTTCTCTCTCATATAGATGTTTCTCTCTCTTTCTCTCTCTCCCCTCTTCCAGTGAGAATTAAAAATATATATATTTTAAAAGTCACTTTAATATGAACTATCCATGAAAAAACTGCCCACTTCTTTAGCTACCATGGTTTTACAAGCAGGGGCCTGGATCAATGGCCTCAGATATAAATCAAATCTAAAGAACATAAGCATTGAAAAGATTTGAACATTGGTATTTGAGACTTACAAAAACAGCAAGATTAGGATTGGCAACCCTTCGTAAGTCAGCTTATTTTTCTCAAAAAAGTCTGTAGACTGTAAAATCTTTACCTTAAGGTCTTTCAATAGAGCTTCAGTATTAACCACACAGGTGTTCCTTAGAACAGTCCTGCCTCAAGAGGGTAAGAGCACAAGATGTGAAGTTTATAGATAGCATTTTTTTGGTTTTCCCAGAAAACAGTAAGTACAGTTACTCCTAAATGGCCTTTATTCAACACTGAGCAAAAGATTTGTGAAATGCCTACTACTAGCAAAATACTATGCTCATTTATTTGAATATGAAGATCAAATTTAGCTCCAGCCCAGTTCATATGCATACAAAATAACATTACAGAAAATCTAATCAAGAACTTGATCTAATTCCCCTTTGCTTTTACTAAAATGGTTCAGTTTCTCATTAGCTGCTCCAATACCAGAAAAACACCCTATTACAGTTTTATTTACCTTAACATGTGCTCTAGACTTAGCACAAGTATTTGACAATAGGACAGTGGGCCAATAAATGAAGTATTATGTATAAAACTTTATTGTACAAAATTAAGGCCTTCACATTTCATAGTTCACTAGTAGGTAATTTTTAAAAATCTACACAAAAATTTTACTTGCATTTCTTCCAGCCCCAACTATTAGAATGGCCTGACCAATTGTTATGAAAACAAACACTATAAATAACTCCAAGTCCTTTAAAGACAACTCTCCCAAATGTTATTTCTTGGCATAGGTGATCTTCATGGCATGAGATGGTGTGATCTTAAATCCTTGTAAAGCATCCCTGGCAGCTCCAGCCTGTCCATCATTTTCAAATTCAACAAATGCAATGTCATGCCGCCCAGGTACCAAACGTACTTCCTTGAAACCAGGGAACCTGTGAAGAAAAGCAATTTATATCTACGTGAATTATTTATATATATGTAAATACATATATAAATGTTTACTCTGTGTTTAAACTTATTAAGCAACTTCCTGGAAAGTACTATTTCCTACCAAGAATCCTGAGTAGGATAAAGATAATTAATAATACTATAATTAAAATATAATTAACACTAGAAGAACTGCAGGATTAATATAAACTAATTATATTCTTGTCACTGTATCCAAGCTTTGTTTTCAGTGTTACTCATCAATTAGAATTCATAATTCAAACATCAGTGGTAATTCATGTCTTTATTTGCTAAATCTGAAGACTAACTTTAATTCATGGTTAACCCCAAACCAAATCAACGAGCTTGTAAGAAATTACTGCTGTATGGTACACAAATGGATTCAACTCATGAAAGTGCTATTTGTCCTATCAGGAGAATCTTGGAACACAGACTTTTTAATAATAAAACTTACTGATTAAACAGCATGGATAACATCATCTCATTAGTCTCTTCTGGTAAATTATTAAGGAATAAAATATAGTTTGGAGGGTAATCAGGGACCTATTAAAAAGAAAAAGGGCAAAGTTAGCTTTAAGTATGAAAAATATTGTAAACCATTTGGCTCTTACATAAAATCTAAACTCAAGAGAGCTAAATTGTACAGTTTATTAGGGATTATGAAAACTTATTGCATGCATCAAACACTATAGCTGAAAATCAAGACCAGAGGAATAAATATAAACCTAACAGTAACTAAGCAGACATTCAAATCACTTAACACAAATGTGGCAAACTATAAATCTTATCAGTTTTAAGTATTTAAAAATATTTAAACCAATATTTAAATTTTGTCATAATTGGAGGATTCTGTCATCTGGGTTACCTAATTGAAAGATCCTAACAGAACTAGAGAAGGTGGCAAAATCACCCTCCTTTAGTTTGTTACCCAAGAACAGTGATATTCAATTCTCTGCATTACTGCTCACTACCTTCCAGCATTTAAGAAAATTAAGAACCACTATTTGGTGACTTCTAATGTTTTTTTACAAGTAAATGAGATATACATGAGTCTAGTTACCCACAAATAAGTAGAAACAAGCCCTGTTATTAGATATTAAAAACTGTTTGATTCCCCATCCTCAGGTATTAAGGATCTATAGGGAGATCATCCTGTTTATAAGAAAAAGCTTCCCTCTCTGGCTAATTTTATGGGGGGAAAAGATAAAGTATAAAGAATAACTTAAGTGAACAACTTAAGGCTTAGAGAATTCAGTGCTGGCACTTGTAACCTAGACTATAATTGTTATAAGAGTTCAAAGAAGGAAAATAGGTAATACAAGAAAATGCAAATAATTTAAAATCAGAGCAGCAAAACCTCTGTGATATAAGGAATTCTCTAAATTAAAAATACATGGTAGACTGAGAGCTGTCAGAGGGGAGGTAGGTGGGGTGAATGGGATGAAAGAAGGTGAAGAGAACAGCCAAAGAACATATACACACAGCCCATGGACATAGACAGCAATGTGGTGAGGGCCAAAGGGATGGAAGGCGGGATCTGGGGACAGAGGGAATGAGGGTGGGAAATGGGGACATCTAATCTAATAAAACAGAAACATGGTAATTGGCGTACGACTGCTACCCTTCCCATTAGCTAGTCAGGGCGATATGCATATTAACTGTCAGCCAAGATGGTGGCTGGCAGCTAGGCAGCTGAGAACAGGAGGCTTGGTTACCCCAGCGATGAGGAAGCCGAGGAAGCCAAGGCGCAGCTGCGGGGGGCTTGGGAACAGTGGAGCAGACAGGCCTCCTGGCCTGGGATAAGAGGAGCCCAGAGGCCTCAAGACCCCGGGATCAGCGGAGCCCAGAGGCCTAAAGACCCCATTATCAGCGGAGCCGAGAGGCCTCCCGGCCAGGATCAGCAGAGCCAAGAGGCCTCAGGACCCTGTGATCAGTGGAGCCACGAGGCCTCCCAGCCCCGGTTATCAGCAGAGCCAAGAGGCCTCCCGGCCCGGGAC